AAAAAAAAAAAAGAAAAGAAAAACCCATATGTGTTCTTCCTTGGTAAATCTTTGGGAAATTATCCCACAAATAGGAAGTCATTGGTTAGCAATGTAAACAAAGGACCACATGAACTTCTTCCTTGAAATTTTCCGTAGGTGGATTCTTTAATAGGCAAATTCCACCTTGGCTATCAGCCTACACAAAGCTTAAAACATAGTCCTAAAGGACCCAGAAAATCAGAAATGATGACCCAGGAAAAACAAAAAATCTGTAGCATATGGAGGTATTCCCTTGGGAGGAAAGCAAAGGTTTTCTTGGCCCAAATGCTTTAATTTTAGTCAACGGTCCCAAGACAATTTAGATAGGAATGTGGGATATCCATAGGCTAAAATCCTGAAATGCTTCTTCCCTCTCCTCAATCCTATTTTGGCAAAATAACCAAGTGATCTAAGAGGCTCTGTACTTAAAATGTTTTAAAAATCCATGAAGTACATTAAATCTAATCCCGATTTTCTGAAAGAAAAATACTGTAGCCTATGGTCCTCATTATTTATAGTCGAGCTACATGTTAAATGTCAGTGGGGTAATTAACACAGTAGCCAAGATGTAGAATACCCTAGAAGGCTTCAAGCACACCTTTAAAAAGTGGTGAACATAGGCAAGTAGGCTTTTGCTAAAATAATAGAAAATAAATTCTCCAGTCCATGGCTGTATCACACCCTCAGTGAACTCTGAGTGTCCAGATTATTAAAATATCCTTTAAATTCTCCATGTGTTTGGGGCGCCTGGGTGGCTCAGTCGGTTAAGCATCCGACTTCGGCTCAGGTCACGATCTCGCGGTCCATGAGTTCTAGCCCCGCGTCGGGCTCTGGGCTAATGGCTCAGAGCCTGGCGCCTGCTTCCGATTCTGTGTCTCCCTCTCTCTCTGCCCCTCCCCCGTTCATGATCTCTGTCTCAAAAATAAAGAAACGTTTAAAAAAAAATTTTAAAGTCTCCATGTGTTCATCGATGTTTATGATAACCTCACTGAGCCAGGGATTCCCTTATGAAAATAGTGCTGGCCCTGCCCCACTACTCTCGACGGCCTTCCCACTGGAATGAAAGGAAATCTGGCTCAGGATGGCAGATGGTGAGGTGGCAATGGATGTAAAAAAGCAGCACTAACTTCTCCAGAGAGTAGGGTTCCTTCCAGAAATGCATGCCATTGGCCCCGGGGCAGGAAATGCTCCTGTTAGAGTATCCTGATACATCTCAGGTCTCCACTCGAATGCCAAAAGAGGACCGAGCATGTGACCGATGGTCAGAAACAGCACCCATGCACGGGTTCAGCTTTGAAGAGAACATCTGTACGTATATACAAATTAACTGAGCTCGGTATTTCAAGATTCCAAGATTGGGGATCCCAGCAGCAAATGTAGAGTGTCTCCCCACGATCTCTTCTCCAAATGAGGATTTGCCCCCTGTGCACTGATTTTCTACACCAGCCCGCACTCTAGGTGAATGTGAGCTACCATTCACTGTGGGTGCCCACGATGCCCACATTTCAACGATTCTGTTAGCCCCAACACCCACCAAAGAGATCAGACTCCTCCATCTACACAAAATGAAATCTCTTTCTTGGGGAGAGGTATCGTACCACTCCCCCCACGCCACAAAGGTAAACAATGACTCCTAATGATTTTACATCTGTTTCCCCAACTAATAAAAATCCCCTGCATGTCTTCTTACTCGTCTCTTCCCCCAGTACCTAGCAAGGTGATCGATATCAACCAGGCCCTTAAGCTGTTTGCTAAATGAATGAGAAGATGAATGAGTCTCTTATTTAAATTCAGATCCACTCGCATGCCATTTCTGAGCCTTCCCTGGGATTCTGAAGGACCCCGAGCACGAGGCTCACCTCACTTGCTCTGTTTCCTCACCCACTGATCTGGGCCAGGAAAACAAACTTGAAAGGAGACTTACGTGCAGTTCCCCAAGCCTCTAGGTCACCCTTCCACCTTCTTCCTTTCCCATTCTCCACCCCAACTTGAACAGACACATTTAGTCACCTAAATACCCTCTAAACACTATTCAGGAATGCTGGAGTCCTCTTTCAGAAAGCAAGCCCTCACTGTGCCCATGAAGCCTTGGATATCCGTGATTAAGCTGCCATCCTCCACAGAAGCTTCTTCTCAGATGCCACTCTTCAGCTCGGAGAACCTCTAGCCTAGCAGCTGGACCAGACGGCTACTATCAAAATTAAAAAAAAAGGGGGCGCCTGGGTGGCTCAGTCGGTTAGGCGTCCAACTTCGGC